ACAGATTTGGCAAGATTGAGTCAAAGGCCTGATGAGAAAGCTACTCAGTTTATTGCCAAATTTAAAAGAGCACGAAATAAATGTAGGATCATCTTACCGAAGCCTGAATTTGTGAGATTGGCTCAAAATGGTTTAGAGTTTAGGTTTCGAAAGAAGTTTGACTTAACTGAGTTCAGAGACTTAGTGGAACTCATGATTTGCATCTTCGTTTGTAAAATGGAAGCTCAAAATCCTTTGGTCTTGCATAGGATTTGGTGGTGATGCTGTCTTCTCCACAGTCGATACCAAAAATGAGCTTGACATCACTGGTTCTGAGTTTCATTTCCTTTTTGCCAAGTACAAATGATCTTTTTCTTTTGTTGTAGAGTGTTGTCATTTCTGCTACAATGGAATTGTAGCATCTGCACCAAGAGGCCTTCAGTTGTGTTAAGGAGAGAACATTTATAAGGGGCCAAAAAGGGATTTTTTGCAGCTCTGTTTGTTGGGCTTTTGTGAATTTGACCCCCTTCAACAGTTTGATTACCGTTCCGATGTTGGAACGATAATTAAATTGTTGGACTCTCTTTGCAGGGACTGCTGGTTTTTTTTCTTTTGATGCCTTGGTTGTTGTTTTGGGAGTTGATTGGCTTTCTTGGAGCTTTCTTTTTTTGGTTGGAGGAGCTTCTTGGTTTTTTGTTGGCTTTCTTTTGTTTGTTTTTGTTGTGGTTGGAGGTGTGGTTGGTGTTTGTTGGGTGGGTGGGGTCTGTGGTGTAGTTCTTGGGCTTTTTCTTGTAGGTGGTGTGGTTGTTTTGTGGGTTTTTTGGTGGGGTCTGTTGGGTTTGGTTGTTTTTGGGTGTGGTGGTGGCATTTGAGTGGATACAGGAGAGGGACTTTCAAAAGGGGAGATGGTTAAATCCCTGATTGGATTTGTGGGCATACGGGTTTGTTTCTTCCAATATCTTCCAACAGCTATTTCTGAAAAAATGAAAGTGACAACAGGGTATGAGTAATATAGTGACAAAACTGTATAATTTTGAAGTTTTATATGCAGTTTAATATGAAGTTATATGTATTTTGTTCGTAAGAGTTACGAAACTGTATAATTTGACAGTTTGATTTGCACTTTATAATAAGTTAGCTATTTGTTTTGAGTAGTGGTTAAACTGTGTAATTTTGCAGTTTCATTTGCATTTTGAATAAATTTAGATATGTTGCTTGTATAGTGATGAAATGAAACACTATGATGTTGCAGTTTTTATAAGGAAACAGTATGAACAATAGGAATAGCCCATTGTATTTTGTAAAAAGCAACAATGACAACAAGAAGATTAAAAATTCAAAAATAAGAATAAGAGAAGCCAATATTGAACAACAAGAATAAGAATAAGGTGTTGAATGTGTAAAAACAGGGATTTATGTGTAAAAACAGTGTTTAGAATGTTGAAAAACAGGGGACTATATATATATTAAAAGAGGGTTTATACATTTGGAAGTATGTAAAATGTGTATATACGAAATATGAAAGAATGATGTACAAAAGTGAATGAAAAATAATGAATAGGTGAAGAGAGATGTTACTTTTTTTCCCCATTTTTGTGAATCGGAAGTCAGGAACTATGAAATCTCTTCAGAGTGGTGATGGTTCTTCGTATTGTTGAGAGTCACCGATTGGAGAATATGAACGGCTTGGTGTTATGTTGAAGATGAACGATTTGGTTTTGTGGTTAGGGTAGGGTTTCAGAGGGAATGGGGTCGAACGGAGGAGAGATGGAGGATTGAGAATGCGATTTCGAGCGGCGGAGATGTAACAGTGTACTGATTAGACTGAGATGATTGTGGGTGATGAAGATGAACGGTTACGTTTTCTGGTTAGGGTTAGGGTTTCAGAGGGGATGGAGTTGAACGGAAGAGAGATGAAGGACTGAGGAGTCGATTTCGAGCGGCGGAGACGTGACAGTGTAGTGATCGGACTGAGATGATGGGGACGTGGGAGATGGTTGCGCGCATGTAAATTGGAAGATATATTGTGGGTATTTTCGTCTTATTGTTAATTTGAGGACTTAATGGAGTATTAAATTTGTTTTGGGTCTAAATGGGTTATGATATGTTGGGCTTGGACCTTTGGGTCAGACGCCCATATTTTAATAATTGATTATAGTTTTTAGTATTTATAGTATTGAGTATTTTTTAGAGAGAGAAAGTTGTTGACTTTCGCATGAGAGTGTTCGTTTGGTAAAGGCTGGATGAAGCAGTGACAATTATTTGTCTTGTAGATTCTCGGTGGATTCATGTAGAAGATCAATTTCATTCCTAGATTTCTAGAAAAATAATATCTTATTGATTGTGTGTGGCCATGTTAGATTTTAGCACCCAAAATTTAAATACATTTTATCGTGCTAGCACGAATTTTCCTTTAAGCTCAGTTTGATTAGATAAATAATACATAAAAGTGGAAGAAAAAGAAAAAAAATAATATAATTTTGCATATGTTTGTTTAGATAAAGAGTCCTTGAAAATAATTGAAACTAAAGTTTCAAATACAATTCAAATTAGCTTATTAGGTAAGCTAACAATTTCTTAAAATTATTTTTTCTCACAAATCTTTCTTTTTTATCCATGTTTCTTTCCACAACTCTTACGCTGTG